TATACCTTGTATGGTGAGCCTAACATGGGAGATTAAGACAGGTCACAAGGAATAAAATTAGAAACCTTGTCCATCGAGGTCGACGCGGGGTAACAACGTAATATAACTGCTGGAATGTTTTTCATCACCTTTTTATTGACGAAAACTGTGACTAACTGTTTGACCAATATTCGACTGCGGCGAAACTTTTTGAATGCCTACACTGTATCCCCTGCGTGTTAGGTGTCTAGTCCGTGATTTTTACTAACTATATGTCTTGTTTTTGAAGGCTGTGTGCCCATTCAAGCCAGCTTAAAATTACTCAAAATAATGGTGGGAAAAGTGCTACTCCATGTGTTGGGTTAAGCCTGTTTTTACGCTGTTCTTTTAGAGCAGGAGGCAATTTGTAGCTCATCCGGCATTGACAGTTTCGCTGATGACATTTTATCAGGGTGGTAAAACTGTAGGACATTTTTCTCGCCAATAACGTCGTGTTTGTTACTTCCTTGGAATCTATAATAGAACTCAAAAAAGGCTTATAAAATAAAGTTGTTTTTTTTCTATAAATAGGCAAAAAATAAACGGAAATTATCACTATTGTTTCGCGTACTTGTACTTAGCTCGTCATCCCCACCGCATGGCAAAATCAAAAAGGTAGGGATATCCCTGAATGCAAGTTATACTTCGCTTTAATGCGTACAACAGATTGCCTAATCTCTAAAGGTTCGTGTATCAGTCTTCATTTGGGGGCCTCTGATTACCCGTAACTAGGGTTGTCCTGTATATAATACTAATAAAGAGCTGGTTTTGCGTTTTGCTCAATTCTGAGTAGAAACGGCATATCGGAGATGGGTCAATCTCTAACGATCTTCCATCTCTCATGTATCAGTGGCCTGTCCGAGCCAAATCTATTAGAACAAGATAAGGTGCAGTGGTTGACGTAACTTAGTGTCGACATGAGACTGCCGTAAAGTGGCCATTGCGAAGTGGTTAGTGTACTCTGACTTATAACTGATGTATTCCAAAAGCTGGTATCAAGGAACGACCGATAGTCTGTCGTGACCTATTCCAGTGGGGTTGATTTCGTGTTGAGTACTTCAATAACCTGCGATGGGGATGAATTCTTCATCATCAACCTTAGTATCTCTTCTCTCAAGCACCAATCGACCTTTTGAGCCTTTTCCCCACTGGTAATGAGATTAAGGGCAGCAGTTGAAGTGGAGTGAACGTCTCTATCCAAGGCTTGTCACACGCATGTACAATAGCAGGTAGGTATTTATGCAGACCAACTGTAACATAGTAAATGTGTCGCAGGAGCTACTGCAGTAACATAGCAAATATGTCACAGGAGCTACTACTGTTCCACCACGTATGCAGTGCAGCCCGTCTGATTGACAAAGTGGACTTATCTCCCGTAACGACATATTATTCGACAATAATCCTACTCATATAAATTAAGTAGGCAGCCTAATGTTCATATATTTAAATTCAAACGAATAAATCAAGATGGTACGAAGGCGAGAAACACAAAGGTAAGCCTTATCTACCTGCCTATCTTGATATCGTCCACTGATAAGTTCGTTCTCAACACCTCTGCTATCACATATTGCTTTGAATAAACATTAATTAATCGGGGCACATGTGAATATTAATGCAGTAATCTCATGGGTTTTGCCGTTTTATTTGTCAAGTTTTACATATATCGGATATGATATACAGCATTTTTAAATTTACAGGAAAATAAAACTTATGACGATGGTTTGTGCGAGGCCTGTTCTTCGAAAAAACCTCGTCAACACCATATATGTCGAGTTGCCTTGTTTTGAGGACCCGAACACTTCAACACGCAATCTGATGCGTCTGTAGGCATGCGGTTTACATAAGAGATTATTAGTTTTCTCAAAAAGTCTTACACAATTCATCGGATC